TATCCGTCAACCTTTAAAATATCATTTCATTTGTTGCAAACACCTACCGTTCAGTGACCTCTAAACAAGTTCACTATAGCTTATGAACTATTTGACTATATATTTTGATGGCTGATGAAATCCAAGCAGTTCTGATGAAAAAGCTGTAGCTTACACAAAGAAACTTTCAGAAAATTTTTGTTTTGATTTTCCAAACACACTGGGACTATTTCAAGTGATTTATAGCAAACTGACTGTCTTAAATATCAAACATATCTCAGAACCAGATATATGGAGCAACAATGACTGCGTGCCCAAACGGTGCTCAAACGTAACACTGTATGGTGTCAGGTTACGCGGATGTCGAATGCCACACCTTCAGTCTGACGAGTGGACTTCAATAGGGAAGATCACCATATAGTATTGGACAATGAAAAACTGCTGGATAATAAATTTGGGAAATTATCTACCACTGTTGTGAGAGCTGGCTGCAGGCCAGAATTGTAGACAGCAATTTATGCCAATGTTACGTCTTGAGTCAAGGTCATTAGAAAAACGATAACAGGGTTTAACCTAGAGGAACTCACCAACCAATCACAGCAGACTTAATGTGTGCAAATAGGATTCACCGAAATATGGCTCAGCCATCTGAGAAGCGGCCACAAGCAGTACAGAATAACCTTCAGCAAGAAAACAACTAATCAGAAGACGTTGCTTCTCCGCTGGCAATAATGCACACAAAAATCTGTAAACATCTCTTGATTTTCTCAATAAACGACCTGTTGCCTGGCTCTTGTCATTCTGTCGTTATACTACCACTGGGTAGTATACAGCAGATGTAATGTTGCTATAAATTTCAGGAATAGTATTTGCAAATCTCTCTACAGTGGTTTGGAAGCAATTAAATGAGACGAAAAGATTCATTATTGAAATGAACAATCAGAAATAGTAGGTGTTATTTGGATACAAAAACTCTTAGTCGACAATCTTATAATATGAAAACAATATATTATACAAATGATATCAGACTGCTATCTGCTTAGAAGTTAAAGAGGCACTATGAAGTTATGAATTGCGCCAATGTTTGCACTACAAACTTTGAGATTCCAGTTACGTAGAGTTGTGAATATTTGGGCCTTTTCCCTGAAGGTTTTTAAAATGTTTTACTTCTAAGGGGGCTACATACTCACAGGTATTCGATTTTACATCTTCCTTCTGAAAGTGTTGAGTGAGTTTTTGAATAAACCTCATAATTCATTATAACAAGAAAGTAGAAATCAGAATAACAACACATTTATGAGTAATACTTAAAAATTCATGGGTTTTCACGATTAACTAGTCAGTTAGTGACAAAATAAATTCTGTTTATGTTAATTGATAAGTTCTGCATCAGAAATTAATAATAATCACTTTATTAGTTCTCTACGTTAATGGATATTGACTTTTTTGATGTTGTGATATTTGAGCTGGTAGGCTTCATTAATAATAATAATAATAACTCTACGATTTCCTTCTAGACGTCACCTTGAATGCTAACTGCAGAACAAAATGAGCTTCTAGAATTACACATGAGTGGACTAACTGTCTTTTGGGGCAGGCTTCTCATTCTTAGATCTAAGATTTGCCAATTTTTATGGCCCAACTGGTATCTGTATGAGTTCACATACATTGATATGAAAGAGACGTAAATCATTTCTTTTTTCTGTGAGCTTATGATGCTGGATACGAAACCCAATGGGACGTTCAAGTTGGTTAGTGTAGTGGTTTAACAACTGAGGCAGCTTATTTTGGTATTGGTCTTGTTTAATTTCGCTTTTTGGTACGTTGATCCATGTAATAATGAATGTAGTGATCGATAACTACTTCAGGTCCTACCGTCACATCAGAAAATTCTTTTATATATAACTTATAATGAGTATTTTTAAATAGCCAAAAGTCATCGAGAACGTTGATTCTGATGGGGTTGCTTTCCAAACAGTCTCTTCTAGTTATGACGAACGTGTTGTTTCCGTGGTGTACCCAAATTTTCGACTTGATTATTGGTAAGACTTCGATCACAGGATTCTGTACGGCGTTTTGCGATACCGTAAAGACCTTTGAATAATTTGTACATCTAAGTTTCTGGAAATGAAATCATTAGTCATAAGCTAGAGGTATGTAAATTAAATTCTGAGTGGGAAAAGTCTTTTAGATTTCGTTCACCACTGATCGTGTTCTGTGACTCAGGTTTACTGATTTGATTTTTTAATCTTTGAACCACAATTGGTAACAGCCTTTATTATTCTGTTGGACTGATGGCATTAAGTCAAACGTCATTGTCGTTTGGCATGTTGTCTTTCTTTCCTGTATCTTCCATAGTTTGGTGATCACGCATGTTGTAGCAAAGAAATATCAACATCAGCTCCAAAATAAAGTATTTTAGGAACTGTAAAATTGTTGCTCATATTATGTCTTGGTAACTGTTTTTCATGTGATATTATCCCAGTGAGACTGAGTTGGAAATGAACATAGGCATACAATTATCACTGTTGTAGCGTCTTATGACTTAGTAGCTGGAAAAAGTTAAAACTGTGCTAAAAATCCCAAATAGTTACGCGTATAGGAAAACTGGCTTGTCGGCGTAACACCTAAATACCAGAATTTGAGGGAAAAACTCCACATAGTGATGTAGTACTACATTCTTAGTATATATATATATATATATATATATATATATATATATATATATATATATATATGAAGAGTGTGGCATAACGATGCAGTCACAAGATTTATGTAGAATTTTGAGGTCCAATTTTGCTTGATTCAATTTCCAATTTTCCTATCTATCATAAAAAATCCAACACACAGCATTAGCCACATTTTATACACGTTAGATTGTCATCACTTAACATTTCCATGTTTAAAGGAAACATACCAATGAAGAATAAAATTTCAGGGATAGATGTTGTAACATTTAGAAAATCATTCAAAACCGAAAAGCACAAATACCTGTTCCGCTCAAGTCTTGGACTCTTTGATATTCAGGAGGTTAAGTCCATGTCTTATTCTCGTAAACTAAAGATTCCGGGTTCAACTCCTTGAATAAACATGGGGTCACTCTGCTGATAAGTGCCAAACTGGTGCGAAAAGATTATGAAGAGTCACTACAGCCAAATTATTAAGGACATTTAACTGGTTGAGCCATTTAATCAGGATGATCCCTAATAATTGAATGTCCGTTTTACGCATTCTTGTATAGATCTGTATTGCACTAGCAAACATTATCTTTATTAAGTTGTCGTGAGAGTTTTGAAAACACCGATTGTAGGTTGCACTAAGAACAATGAGATTGACTAAGTCAGCAGACTTGGTCATGGTATTATATGAGGGATGATATGTGGCATTGGTAGGTTTTCATGGGTGGGTAGGATCTGTAACGTTTGATAAGCAGTTTGTACACATAGTTAATTAAGAGAGGAGTTTATATCCATTATATCTGGCGGAACAGTGAATAATGTCAACTAACAGATTTCTGCACTTCGCTTTATTCTCGATATTCTGTTATCTAAATTTCTCGATAACAAAGATCGATTTACTATTTTATTCCTTTGCGTTCAGAGTGGAACATATCACTTCAAGCTGGAGCTTTGATGTTTCAGTAGCGACTGTTAGCCCCAAGCCCAACCATTACTCTCTGTCTGTCTTTTAACTGGCTAAAGGGTGAGGAAAAATATGCACCGGCCGGGAATCGGAACCTAGACTACATGCATGATTGGCAACCATTCTACTGTTGAGCCACTGATGCACAACGAAGATAAAAAGTGATAACCATTATATATACGCATATCTAAGCAAATGAAGGAAGTAATTTTATGCTCCAAAGAACCTTATTCAATCATTAAGAAAGGTTGACCTTCATTCATGCTGTACTTATAACAACAAAAGAATCCAATGAAAATCACAGCCTTATAACTAGTTCAAGGTCAGTATTTTATTTCTTTTTTAACAGTTAGACCTTTCATTTCTTTTTAATTCTCTTGTTTTGTTTTATAGTTGTAGATTATGTTACAGGCATTGTTTGTTGAAACGATAGTGATTTTTTGTTGTGAATTTGTCGATCAATATGAGGTCTTTGCATTGCCCTATATAAGAAAGTTTATCAGTTGAATAAATCCCTCTACTTGGTATATGTTCACATATACTACATTAATTGGAGCACCGAAATCTGAAACATATGTTGACCAGTTCGTTTATATGAAAAGCTAAAAAGTACCATCTTTATAGACCAATGATGGAACCTATAATTTTCTCGGTTAAAATATTCCTTATTCTTACCTCATGCTGCTCAGGCTTTGAGATGCATTTTAAGTGAATTTCAAATATAAACCAAATATAAAAATAGAGCAGTTAGTTGCAGGATATTGTTTTAACTTTTTTAACACTAACTATCAGTTACATTACAACCCGTACGAATTATTATCCACAGTTTATGATCTATACGTTTTTAGGTATGCCGAGACGCACAGCTCATGCAAAGTTTATATTTCATCCTTTTTGATGCAGCCTGATGACACATCAGTAGCGTCATTTAAAAAATCCTAATAGTGATGAGTAAGGATAAACTCTAGACAAGGTTCACAATTTTAGATGACAACAAAAGTTTATTTACTTATTTATTATTTATTTTTTCACAATGTTATTAACTTTATCTCTTGTTAGGCCCAGTTTACCTGAAGATGAAGAATAAGTACATTGATAAGTAGACATGGTTAGCAGGCAGGTATCAAATGCTGCCACTGGTCAAATTTGCATTTCCACCTAAGTAATCAAAAATTATATATATATATATACATTCATAACTTTACGTTCCGACTGTACTATAGGACTTCAAGCCTAAATTTTAAAGTTTTGATAGCGGTTGTGTAATTTCTTAGGCGTGGGATGTTACTAGCCTCACACCCAACCTTTCTTTGTTATCGAGATTACTACCAGCTGAGAGAGGTATAGGATTACTATTAATTAAAAAATTATGCTTTCGTAACGTTATATGAAACTTTTATTCTATACATGTCTGTAGCGGTGTGCATGTAAGTAAATTTACATACTCATCATTACAGCTTAATAAACAGAGTACAAAAGACTTATACATGATCATAATTCGTACATACGCATATACGTGGATGCGCACAGTAAGTATGATTAATAATTGTTATTGAGTTAATAGAAAAAATAACTGGTCTTGAAAGTATAGAGAAAAATAATATTAGTAGTAAAAGTAGAAAACTCATGTGATGAAGATAATGATGCAAAGTTGTGTAAGTCTGCAAAAAAATCAGAGGTGCATTCTACATTACCAGCTTCTATTTTGTACAAATGAATAACAGACGTGTAAATGATCTGGATGAGTGTGAACAATAACATAACAGGAAATAGGTGAGAAAGAAATACAGGTGAAAAGATATAGAAGCTGACTGTGTGAGTGTGTGTCAGAGAGAGACCGTTAAAGAAACTCAAGTTAGCAGATCCAAACAGTCAGCTCCATGATTTCAGTAGATACATCAAAGTGATAAAAGCTTACCTAATCTAAAAAAAATATTTTTATGTTAATTTTTTGTCTGAAAAAAAGTTTACCAGTAAATCACTTCGTGCGTATAAATATTTGATCATTTTGATAAATAGTCATTGGGTTGAAATTGACTGAAGAGTTTGCTAACTCATTTCTTGTTCACAGGCTGCTGACATTGTAATGCGTAATGAAGTAATCATGGAAGTAGGCTAAAATAGCCATTGGTTGACCAATGATCAATGCTAGCCATACAGCTAAATTACCAGCTTGACCACCATTCGAGAATAAACGTGAGACAATGTAAGCATACGGCACTTGACCGAGCATACCAAGAAAGGCCCAGAACCTTGGCATCTTCAATGGAACTGATACAAGTATCTCATGGAAAAATGCACTAACGAAGAAAACTACAAGGCTAGCATGGAATCGGCTGAGACCCATCTTTAACAGAGGAATGTAAATGTGTCTGTAATTGTAAAAATAAAAAAAAACTATTGAAAGAAAAGTTTATCATATGGCACACTAGAAGAAATAAGTAAATGCTTGCTGGAAAGTTAACCCCATGAATAAAAACAGGATAACCATTATTAATTATTATCGTAAAGCCTTCACTTCTCTGAAAAAAACACCTTATATTTGGGAAGACAAAAGTGTTTGTCAAGTCACCCTACTAAAGCGCATAATTAGTTCAATATCTTCCAAACGTAACAAACTGCAACAGTGAAAGATGCCTTATGCCACTGATCTTCAGTATTTAGCCAAACTTTTCAATACTCCATACGCGACTGAGTTGGGACTGCGGGTTATAACGTTAACAATATGGATTATAAGAAATGCGGTAATTGGAATAAATTTTGTTTCAGTTGCTAGATTTCGTCATGAATCAACTTCGATTAGAGAGATCATTGAAAACCATGAAGTAATGAACAGCTACTACATCCTATTTCGGACTCTTCATTAGTGCCTGCCAAATATCTCATCACAAATCGAACCCGACACCTTCAGGTTACGAGGTCAAGCTCATAAATCATTCAGCCACTCGGGTCGGAATTCAATGACCCGCTAACTCTAACCGCTTCGATTTGTTTTGTATGCGCTACCCTCACCAATGCCTTTGGTATACATCCACTTAATCTTAACATGGTGAGCCGCACAAGTCACGACTTACGACTACAGCTTCAGTACATCCGTCTAGTAACCATCGATGAGCTTGGAGTTGATATGCAGATAATGGGACAAAGTTAGAATTTGCAGGCCACTGAATTTCTGTGTAAGTGAATGAATGGTTAGCGAGATCGCCCCCATAACCTGAAGATAGTGGGTTAGACACCTAGTGGGGTCGTAGATGCGTACCTGTGGAAGCTCCCAAGATGAAATGAAACGACCACCCAGTGTTCTCTGGTTTTCACCGCTCTGTTCAACTGATGCTGGTCCGTGAATTCTAACCACATAGAAGAACACAGATGGTAGTCTTCATTTCATTAACACCTGAATATGATAGACTTCTTGGTTAACTAAAGAAGCAAGCTTCAATTCTCTTTGCTGAATGACTCATCTTAGTGATGCATGTAAACACACTTGATTTGCATTCCACTATTTTGCCCGTTAAGTTATATAATTCATATTATTATTTCACTTATTCTAATTGGTAGGCCGGTCTTCATATTCGAAAATGATAACTGTCAAGGGCATAACTTAAATTCCCGTTTTTAAATATTGCTGACTCGTCCAGACATCAAATCAGCTATCAAAATTGATAAGGAATTTACTCATATTTCGAATAAATGGGTGACGGCAACTCCATTCCATGAAAAGGCAGGAAGTCGTTGTATTCCTATGAGGTATTGGGATTGGGCTTTTTATGCAGCTAGGATGAGGCATTCGATAAAACACCTTACAGTAGGGCCCAGATATATCTCACTAGTTGATATAGATTCTATAAGTGATATCAGCTTCTTTAACAAATATAACATGAGAATCAGGGATTTTTTAAATAGGGATTAACATCCCTTATATTACTTAATTACAGTCGACATTCAGTATCATATTCTAAAAATCTATGAGATAATAAAGCAAATATATTAAACGAATTATCGGCTTCTTTGTGTCATTGTCTAAGTTACAGAAGAATTTATTTCCCAAATGGAACCCTGCTAAAGATATTCAATTAATGATGAAGCAGCTAAAAGAAGTTAAAAGTTATCATTACCTCGAAGGTGCACCACATTGGTTGAAGTTTCTTCGATGAAATCAAAATCAAATGCGTGTTGTGATAAGACAGTTTGTTCATATTATTAGAACTTTGTACCTAAATATTTTCAATTATTACGTTTTAGTTTGATGAGGTAAATATCTTCTTTCGTAAACATACTTATACGTAACAAAGACCTTATCTGTCAACAGAAGTTGTGTGCAGAAATGCAGATAGATAATTAAATTTTGTACACTGTCTTTCAAAATTTGAGAATGATGACACAGCTGAATCCTTATTGTTATATTATTATTACTCCCTTGGGTTCTGAATAGAGCATAGGGGTTCAGCAACATATCTCCACTTTCTTCCGTTTTCTGCTGTCCTCCTCAGCTCCGTCCACGACTGACCATAATCTTTCAGCTCCTCCTAGCTACACGATTTCCTCCATTTCACCCTTGCACTGACGACCCACTCGCCGCTTCCCACTTGGATTCCAGTCGAGTAATGATCTGGCGTTCTAAGTCATTCGGTGGCCTCCTCAACGTGTGCCCGATTCATCTCCATTTTCTCCCACATATTTGTTGAACAATCGGCTCTTCGTTGGTTTGTTCCCAGACAGAGTTTCTTCTTACTAACTATTCCTCGCCATCTGATCTTCACTATGGAACCAGCGAAGGGGGAAGCTGTCGAAAAAGTCTTCAACCTGTTGGAAATCGTTCTCGTGACACGCAGTGCAAGTTTCTGACCCGTATAGAAGGACTGACTGACTGACTGACTCCACATTTGTGTTCGAAGTCAGGGTTTTGTTCTCTATGCTTCTGAGTGCAGAAGATTTCCAAACTGGTTTCAGGTTGATGAAGGCGCATCTTTCCTTTTCAATTCTGACTTTGACATCTTCATGTGTTCCGCCGGTCTGTAGTTGAAACCGTGTTTCCTAGCCGGACAAGTGAGGGAAATAACCTCTGTCGAATCTTTCCCATTGATGGTGATTGGTGCTGTTTGCTGTTGCTGTCGGTTGGTTATCTTCATCAACTCCATCTTCTCTATGTTCACCTGAAGTCCTGTCTTCGTCTTCTACCTTTTCTTCCAATTTGTTGGTTTTCGCCTGCAAGTCTTCGAGTTCATGTGACGCTAAACAGATGTCGTCTGTGAAATCCAGATGTCCTTGAATCTTCTTACTGGTCCAACGTATTCATGTCTTCTTACTCCCGACGCACAATCCAGTCCACTACATTTAGGAATATCACTAGTGATAATAGGCAGCCAGCGTTGTATTACTCCTCTATTAATATTTTGAAATGATCTTTACACTGAGTAATCCCTACTTAGATTATATGCAAGGAGTTCAGTTAGTTTATAAGTGGATAACTGTTATTTGATAATATGATACTATATAAGATGTTTGCTCAGAAGACTAACTGCCTTTATTCAAACCCCTAGTCAAAAGGCATTGCAACTACTCCACCTTTTAATAGGCAGTTTCTTTATCTCACTGTACTACTTGCTTATCAAAATCTATAACTGTTCAATCCTCAAACATATTCTTCCAAATTTTACTGCGATATAATTTATTATTATAATCTATCAAAGAAAACTACTTGAATCTAACAAGATTTAAATAACTTACCGTCTGGCAAAACGATGTACAGGAATATTCCATTTTGACCAAAATGCCGGTATAGATTCTGCATTCCTATAAACAGACGTGAAATTAGTTTTCAGTTCAAATAAAACAGAAAAGAATCACTGATTCTCAAAACGACTGGTCATTCATCAATGATAAGCAGATTGTTAACGAAAAATAAAGATATTTTTTTTACAGACAGTTGTGTAAACTGTGAAATCTTTATCCAAAAGTCACATACAATCAGCAAACATCTTCTATGATGTCAAATTCACCGTAGACTATACTCTATTAACTGTACATTAAAAATAAAGTCATAACTTACCACCAGTCACTGTAAAAAAATCGATCTCCAAAATATAGAATTTCTCCAATCACATTCAGCAGTGAGTGAAAAAAAAGGTAAAAGAACATTAACCAGATAAGATGATTTGGTATAGCCAGCTTTAAACAACGCTCAACAATTAAACTGAATCTAGATTCGGCAAATGGTGTGAAACTGTTCGACAGGGTGGGTAAAATCCATTGTTGAATCATACAGAGTATAAGTTGTGGGATGAATATCTGTTCAAAAAATATGAAGGAGATATATGTATGAGTAAATTTAGCTGAAAATCACTCATATTAATACTAAAATATGATTTAACAGTTGTTATTAACCAGTGACATTTAAATTATGGTTATGATTAAATCTATAGATGTGGCAAGTCGTCATCGCTATATTTTTTCACAAAAATGCAGTGAGAAGAGTTATAAGAACTCAAAAGTTAAATCTCCGAATGAACTGATAACTAAAGTGTTACAATAATTCAGGTACACTTATCATTAAAATTTTTTATCGTGAGGTAAATGTGTTCACCATGGCACCTCATTTTAGCAGCATTTAACTGTTTGGAGGCCTTGTAACAAATAAATAGTCTTTATAACCTGCCTAAATCACTACATAAGACACCGGAGATAAGTAAATTGGAGAATCTCTTTTATTCAACCTTAAATTATCGTTCGATACAAAAGTTCAATTACTTTTCACAATATGTAGCTGATCAATAAAAATATACCAAAAATGTCATATTTACGATATACAAACAGGTCAGTTTGGATTAATAGGCTTAACAACTCCGAGGAAAATTACAGCTTGATCCAGAGAAAAATTCATTACCATTTTAGTTTATCAAGCCCGCAGGTAACACCTGCACGTCACCTGATGGAACACAAATCCACAAGAACTGGGATACTTTTCAAGCAATAAAAGATAGGCATGTCATTTGAGATGATATTTGAATTTCTGATTGTGAACTGTATTTCCTGCTTGAAAAATCACCAACTTAATATTTATGTATAAAAATTCCCAACATAACATGTATTAAACTAGTATGGAATACGCTGTACCTTTTCTCGTGGAAGCATTTTCTTCTTAACTAATTTTATTGACTCACTGTTTCTTACTGGTCTAATAATGTCAGTATCCAACAAATACATATATGATAATAGGTAACTTACCAGTTCAAAAACACGTTTGAATAAAAATGGCTTTCTAATTGTCAGTGTACGTGGAAAATTTAATTCATAGCACAACGTTGGAGCAAACATGAAGTAGTATATATCCGTCAGAGTCAAATTATTTGGATAAGTAACGTATAGACTACGACTGAACTTAATGCATGTTTCATCATGTACCAAAGTGTTGACTTCCAATTCTACTGGATCTGTATTTATATTACCGTTATCTGGAACCTCACAAACGCTGAATCTGGATGGTCGCACTATAAAAAGACGTAAAGACGAATGAAAATCAGGGTGGGCATGTATCCAGGCTTCCGTGTACCCAATTTGATACCAGCTCATGAAAGATATCATGAGACCTCTGGACTGAAATTTTGAAATGTAATAAGTAAATTTCTTAGTCAGAGAATAAAAAGTCAACAGGCAATCTTTAAATTCTTTCACTTATTATAATATTCAGTCATTTTACTAACAAACAAAAGTGGGAACTAAGAAATTCTCAAAGAACCTCTGTTTAGTTCATTTAATACCATTCGTGAGTGTGTTTTACTTTAGTGCGGGGTACTATATTTTATTTTAATTACTAATCACTATTCGTGAAAATAAGCAACAGAGTATCGATGACAAATAGAACAGCAAGAAAACTGTGTTGTTATCACGTTAAAAACAAAATTTAAAGAATACTGCATCAATACAGTTATCAAAGCTGACATCTAACTATGTTTCAGTTGTCAATCAGTGTCAGAGTTCTATGCATATGTTTCACGCAGAAACTAGTGAACATTATGTGACAAGTGAAATGAACAATGACCAGTTGAACAGTGATCAAAAGTTTCAAAGTATTTAGATGGAGTCGGGAGTATTAACTAGAAATAGCTCATGGTTATCAAATGCAACTGCTCGACAACATTATCTAATAGATAAATGCATGTGCAGACTTCACAGCTTTTTTGTGCAAAGATTTTAAGGTGGTTTTGGACATAAACTTCAACATAACAATACACGAATAATACATAGTTAAAAATGAAATCTTACGGACAATAGTGAAACCATCTAAAAAACGACTACAGAGGAAACACCTAGGCAGCGATGTATTTTTGAAGTTCTATATTCTTTTCGACTACTACGCTACGTTTTGCTTATTAATAAAAACTGTTATTTCCGTAAAAATTTATGCCAATAGTTTGCGGAAACTATCACAATTATTAACCTTTCGAACACTGAATCCAAAAAATACAATCTTATTGACAGATAATACATATAACTAACTAATTGGATTTGTGGAATTTTTAAACATAAACACATCTATAATTGTATATATTGTTGGATTTATATGTTCAAGTTGCTCCAAGTCAGTGAGTTTATGGTTAAGATATCATTTTAGTTAACTGTGCTGAACTATATTGCATGTTGTCTTATTGTATAGTTGTCGTCGCTTTTTGCCCTTTTTTCTGTGAACTGTTTCCTTTGTTGATGTTGTTCTCATTGTTTGTCCGTTATTTTCTGATTTTGAGGGGAGCAACCCAAAAAGTTGCTTCTCTCTAAACTTTAACTTAATGTAATCATTCTTTTCTCAGGCGTGAGGCTAGCAACCCCACCCTGTAAACAAAGTTGCTACAGAACCTTCAGCAAAATGAACCTCTTTGCACCAAAAGAAAAAGTCTGTGTAGGAACATGGAACGTCCGAACTATGTACGAGACTGGGAAAGCTGCCCAGATCGCCAACGAGATGAAAAGATACGGAATACAAGTGCTGGGAATATGTGAGAGCAGATGGAATGGGAGTGGACTCACCAAATTGTCAACAGGTGAGTCAGTGATCTACTCCGGTCACCCAGAAGATAACCACACGCACACCGAGGGCGTGGCTATCATGATGTCACCAACGGCAACGAAAGCCCTGATACAATGGGAGGCGATTTCGTCCAGGATAATGACCGCCAGGTTCAACTCCAAAGGAAGGAAAGTGTCAATCATACAATGTTATGCACCCACAAACAACGCAGACCTCGAAAAGAAAGAAGAATTCTACAGGCAACTACAGGCAACAATGGACAATACTCCAGCTGGCGACATGAAAATACTAATGGGAGACATGAACGCCAAACTGGGACCAGACAATACAGGAAGGGAACTCATCATGGGTAGAGAAGCTCTAGGAGAAATGAATGAAAACGGAGAACTCTTCGCCGACTTCTGCGCCTTCAACGAACTGGTGATTGGTGGCAGTGTATACAAGCACAAAGATATCCACAAGGCTACATGGGTGTCACCAGACGGGCAAACCAAAAACCAAATCGACTTCATCTCAATCTCAAGGAAGTGGAGGCGCAGCCTACTGGACACAAAAGCAAGAAGAGGAGCAGACGTTGGCTCAGACCACTATCTCGTACAAGGGACAATCCAAATCAAATTAAAAGCTTTCAGGGAATCAGGAGCTGCAGATAGACCACAAGCCAAGTTCAACACTCAAAAGCTGAAGGACCAGGCTACAAAGGACATCTTCATTGCAAGCATAAAGGACAAAGCCGAGACACAAATCAACACTAGCGAAAAGGTCAGCGTCGAAAAGCACTGGAACAACTTGAAAACGGTGTGGAGCCAAACCTGCATAGAAATTCTAGGCAGAAAAAAGAGACAGGACAAACAGTGGCTCACTACGGACACTTGGAAACTAATAGAAGAGAGAAGGACAGTGAAGCAAAAGATTATCCAGTGCACTGACGAGCAACAAAAACAGGAGCTGAATGCAAGCTACAATACACTGAACAAAAGAGTGAAGAAGAGTGCCAGGGAAGACAAAAGAAAATATTATGAAACCATGGCAAACGAAGCAGAACAAGCTGCAGGCAAAGGAGACCTCGCCACACTCTACCAAACAACTAGGAACCTTTCGGGCAAACGTTCGACACAGATTAAGCCAATAAAGGACGACAATGGAAAGTCAATCACCAAAGAGGTGGAACAGAGAAAGCACTGGGTTGAACACTTCAAAAGACTTCTAAATCGTCCGCCACCTACAACACGTCCAGCAATACCAACAACGGAAGCAGAACTACCAGTGAACACTGACCCCCCGACGAAATCAGAAGTCCTGAATGCAATCAAGATGCTTAAAGCTGGGAAAACACCGGGACCAGATGGAATCCCAGCAGAGGCTTTGAAAATAGACCCAGAGACAACAGCGGACTTGATGACACCACTGCTGGAGAAGGTGTGGAAAGAGGGCAAAGTACCCGAGGATTGGAAGAACGGATACTTATTCAAACTTCCAAAGAAAGGAGACTTAAGTCAATGTAAAAACTGGCGTGGAATTATGCTTCTGTCCATTCCAAGCAAGATACTAAGTCGCATCATCCTGGAGAGAATCAAACAAGCCCTAGATGAAAAACTTCGTCCGGAACAGGCTGGATTCAGGAGAAACAAATCATGTATTGATCAAATCGCCACTCTACGGATCATCATTGAACAAAGCTTGGAATGGCAGTCACCTCTCTATCTCAACTTCATCGACTTTGAAAAGGCCTTCGACAGCGTCGATCGAGAGGTCATTTGGAAACTACTTCGCTACTACGGGGTCCCATCGACAATTATACACCTCATCCAACAGTTATACGACAATGCTGCATGCCAAGTAATCCACAACGGGAAACTTACGGAAGCCTTCGAAGTGAGGACGGGAGTGAGGCAAGGCTGTCTACTATCACCAATGATCTTCCTGATTGCAATTGATTGGATAATGCGACAGACAACGGCAACCAACGAGGGAACAGGCATAAAATGGACTGACACAAAAGACTTGGAGGATCTGGATTTCGCCGATGATATATGTCTGATTTCCCATAAACTGGAAGATATGCAAGTGAAAAGTAACAAGTTGGCAGAAGAAGCATCAAAGATAGGACTTCACGTGAACATAGATAAAACAGAGATGATGAAGATTCCTAGCCAACATCAACAACAACAACAGACAACAATAAGCATAAATGGGAAGAACCTGAAAGAAACAACCTCCTTCACCTACCTGGGAAGCATCGTCTCAACTACAGGCGGAACTGACGAGGACATCAAAGCCAGAATCGGAAAAGCAAGACAAGCTTTCATTACTCTCAAATCTGTGTGGAGGTCAACAGCAATCAGCATCAAAAATAAGATCCGGATTTTCAACTCCAATGTGAAGTCAGTGCTACTATACGGATCAGAGACTTGGCGAGTCATAAAGAGCATCTCAAACAAACTTCAAACCTTCATTAACAACTGTCTCCGCTCAATACTCAAGATCAGATGGCCAGAAAAGATCAGCAACAGGGATCTCTGGGAGCGAACCAATCAGGAACCGATTGTGAAACAAATAGGCAGAAAGAAATGGAGATGGATTGGCCATACGCTGAGGAAACCATCAAGTGACATCACTAGACAAGCCCTCGAGTGGAACCCGAAAGGGAGGCGGCGAGTTGGTCGTCCAAGGGTGACTTGGAGGAGGTCATGCGAGGAGGAGATGAAAGCATGTGGACAGACCTGGAGCAGGGTGAAAAAGTTGTCAGAAAACCGAAGTCAATGGAGGTGCGCAGCTGAAGCCCTATGTTCCTCTAGGAACTAAAGGATACAATAATATAATAATCTAAGGGACAAATTATAATAACAACAACAAAATATCAAACTCTCTTATTTCATGCTGTTGGTTGGCCATTCATTGTTGATCTGCCATGATGAGACACTGTTATCTGAATGACTGTTATAATCTGATTTTACCTATGAAGATTTCCGATTCATTGGTGAGCACCTGCATCTTAGATTGTAAATGTTATAAAAGTTTGTTAGCTGTAACACCTTTGGTGATTTATATTCAAAGAGCTTTCTTCGGTACACCTTCCCTAGGAAGGATTCGGTTAATTTATGATGACCAGAATTACTTGACAAAATGCCTACAGGATAACTGACTGGCACTTTCGCCTTTTACTAGTTAGTCCTCATATCTGATCATTTGTTTATTTTCATTTGTATTTCTACTTCTGGTGGAGTGTAAGTATAGCCGTCTACTTGACTATTAACGTTTCCATTGAAGTAAAACAACCACATCTCATCTGAAATTGGTGTCCCTTTTCTAAATCCATTTTAGTTCTCTATTATTATCCCTATTATTACCACTGCCAATACCACGATTTATTTTAATTTTATTTTCTTTTAAAAGTAAAGCACTCTTAAAAATCATTTTCGAATTTCATTTTGAAGTTAGTTTGAATTTTCCTTCCTAATTAAAATTGAAAAACTATGCGATTTCCATCTTGTGTCCTTTATAGAAATCTTGACTTTTTCACCTAAACATGACTCATCCTAACTTTTTTTATCCTATCAAATGTCAGTATCGATAAGTCAGAACATTTCACAGTAGGACTGGAACACTATATTTGCCTAATAAGCTAGAAGAAGAGCTGGGCTTTTTTGGAAAATCCCTAAAAAAAGTGTCTTAAGAGATACACCGATCAATCACAAAGACTAGTGGTCTATTGTCACTTACTTATCAAGTATGCAATAGACAATATTCGTTAGAATTGACTAGAAATGAATTAGCACTAAAATAAGTTTTTCTGAAACGAAATTCATATCATTATGAGAAGACGCATTTTCACTGAACCAATACAGATATAGCAGTCACACTTGTGGTGTCACTCACACTCAAGCTGACAAATTTAAATACTTATATGAATGACTGACTGCGAGGAAGAATTCCAAGTCATATACTGAGTAGATTCTAAATAATATGTTAGAGAAACTACTGGACACTTTATAAATATAAGATGTATCACTGACATCTCTAAATCCTTATGGAAATCATGTGTGCAAGAAATAACAGGATTAATATGCTTTGAGAAAACAACTTACATTGAAAATCCGAAGTTATACCTACATACATGAAAAAAGTGTGCCTACTTTCTCATTATCTTCGTATATTTTTCCTGATTTTTGTCAGCTGCACAATCTTTTCTTTTGCTGAGCCACTTAGTTGACCTGTGGCAGGCAGGTAATGAAAATACTTATCGTAACTAAAAACCGTCTTAAAATAGGCATAAAAATCTCTAAGTCAACAGATCATAACGTCTTTTTTTTTCTGCGCTTTAAATCTCGATAGGATTCATACAACTATTTGCATCCTTATAACTATTTGAAGTAGTACCAATCCTTTTAAAATTTTATTGGTCAGTTTATTTTGTTTTCGGAGGAATAAGGTGATTTTATTTTTTAGAGGTTATCCAGTTGGAATGTGTTCCACTAAAACGAAAATTATCAGATACGTTCTTGAAGAAAATAGAACTATTCTTTTATAGTTACTTATTCTGCAGCATCTGTAGCACAATAATGAGATGCATCTGAGTGGATGTCATAGTACTATCAAAATCCATGGGAGTATGTAGTTATTTCGCGCTTAAAAATACTGAAGAATTCAAATACAAGGACTACTTTCATGACTAGCATTTTGAACTGATCAATTGTACTTAAAATGCATATCGATGCATATGATTCTACAAACCTGGACTAACAGCGGTAAAAGAATTTATAGGAAAGAAGGAAGAATAAACAAAATAAGGAACGTCGAAATACAGTTCCTTACCTTTCCACTCTGACAAAAGAAAAGGTAGTCATACTTCGAGAAATATATTGGGTAATATTGACTGTAGGAAAAGTAATGTATGCTCTCCAAAAGATAAAAGTATACTTCTAATTTTCAAAATGTCTTATTTATTCTTTGAATAAAAAAACCCAGTGTGGTAAACTGGGTCAGATTTTAGCAAATTATTGATTTGTTTATGACCTTATTCTCACTGTAAATATAAACAGTTTCATAACTTCTCCCAACAATCTTTCTTTTTTTCTAAACTAAGAAAACAGAGCATAGACACACTGCTCATACTGCAAAAATAGTTCAGTATAAATTTTTCACAAAGATATAGAAAAATACCATATTTTTCATTTCATGGGATTAAATTCGTAGGAGATGAGTTACTATCTGGTGAAGAGTTTTCCATGGGTCCACTGTATTGATACCTGATACTCAAGTAGTAGATCAATGCATAACTTACAGTAAATTCTGTCTTTCAAAAAACTTAGCCTTTACCTTACCGCGGTAAGGTCATATATACTACAGCTGAACTAATTGAATAGCTAATGGTTTATTTAAGTATATTATTCTGTGAAGTCACGAACTGTTTTCGGTTAAAGATTTACCATTTCATATAATGAACATCACACCTACAACGTCTTTAGCCTTAACAATACACAGGTACGACGTAAACTCAATGCTAAGGCTATACCTAAGTAGATATGCTATTATATAAGTACTGATTCCTACTTATTATGCTTAGTCTTACATGTATCTACAACACAGTAAACTGACTTAACCTTCCTCGGTTTAATAAGGAGAATGAAAGGAATATAGGCCTTTGCATCAGTTTATTTCTCCCTATTCATTAAAACTTTGATTACAAACAACGAAAAATTCAATATCTACTGTCATATCAGTTCCTATCACTATCGCTCTGGTTATGGCTTTGATTTCAACTGTGATACAGCTCCATAAGTTAAGAATTTTAATTCTAAGAAATAAAATGGGTAAAATATAGATGCGAATGCCTAATGAAATCTCTGGTTACAAAATGTGACTACTACAATTTTTATAAGTTAGTAAATAAACCCAATTATTTGAAAATAGACATTAATAATGGGTATCCAGACCAGGGAAACATCATTCACAAGATCTCAGTGTTGTGCTGCTTGATAAGAAGTTGAACCACTGCTTACCAAATCACCGTAAGGAATCTTCAGGAAAATTGATTTAGCGTAAGACCCCAGTGATATATATATATATCAGTCAGTCAAGTAAACCATAACATTTTATTGTACACACTAAAGCACAGTCAGGAAACTGGGCAAGTTCTGAAAAATAATATAGGTGAGTGAAGCGAGAGGTTAATTACTAAGTCACTGTTCATTAAATCTTTGTCAGACATGTGTGGTGTGAATAATGCAGCGTATGAAAAATATTAATACTCATAAAATCAAAGGATGTGAAATAATAGAAAAATATGAAAAAATCGGAAAGATATGTAAGTTCTTTGATATAATTCTGAACAAATTAATCAAATTGTATATTGTATAGTTGTGTGCAACTGTATGTAGAACGGTACCTGACCTAATAAACTTCGTAATTTCTTTATCACTAAAATTACCTAAATTATTGGCTTCAGGCTATTAAACAAGTTAATTCATCTACTTATTACATTAGATTTAATGTGTCTAATATTCGTGCACACTTTAGTACTGTTACAGTTTCAAAACTTTAAGACTGCAATGATATGGTTGATTTAAATAGGCCTCACTATCTGTAAGCAGCTATAATATAGATTTATGCTATACAGTAGGTATATGAGATGAAAACAACTGCGAACCAGTGAAAGATCGTTTTACTAACTGTTAAACACAAATTTTAATCCTGAATGTCAAATTTAAGTGCATTCATCATGTTTTTATATTTGCATAGTGAACACAAGATAGATTTGAGTAATCTCATCATTCACTTCAAGTCTTCATTACATTGTAGCCAAATGAAAAATATGTGTGAACTACAGCTGTGTTGACCTTTGATTACTTAAATATCAAGGGTATTTTCAGTGCTCCATCTATGATTTAAATATTTTCTGGTCGCACGATGTGTATAAGTTGCTAAATTTATAATATGTGTTAGTGTAGTGAAACGGAATGGATAGATAATGTAGACAAAAAGCGTTTTGTGAAGATTTAATCTTTTGAGCGTTATCATTCTCAAGCTAAAAAGAGTAACGCTTAGCTAAAAACCCTTTGGTTTATATGACTTCACAGGGAATTAAGAATGGATGATACTCGTAAACTTTACAAGATAATATCTAGTTAATAAATGTAAATTGCGAAAGGTAAACCAGATGGTTATCTTAGCCATCATTACCTTAAATACTTGCAATCTGAACAACAAGACAAAGTGCTTAGATTCAATAAATCAGTAGTTTACTCCACTTTATGCTAAAGTTTACATAAACCAGTTAAATAATACCTTTAAGTGATGAATATTCTTCGTCAGTTTTGGTGAGTCTGATGATGAAGTGAAGAGTCTTCAGTGGATACTGCTAATGAGCGATATTTTTTTCAAGTATCTCTGGTTTGTGATTAGATAGGAAGATGAAGATCACGAATTTGAAGTACGCCATGACTTGATTCATATGTTTTCTGGAGATCAAATCGAGTTTTCTCTTTGTCAAAATAGAGCAATTTACAGCGCAGCAAAGCAGTATTTCCATATCCCTTCTCAATAAAATAAAACGATGCTAACGTGTTGTATGGTGGTTGGTTAGCATAAAACAAAACCAACCTGAATCAGTGTTAGGTTTGAATTCTAAAACAATAAATATGTAACGCGTGGGTAGGGGAACACAGTCAAATAATATCTTTCTATAAGAAATATCATACTGTTTGACACTATAATATGCGTCGGTGGCATAGCGGTTGGGACGCTGGTCGACCATGCATACGTTTCGGGTTCAGTCCTTGGCCGACACACTCCTTTACATCGCTAAGCCAGAAATAATGCTGGTAAAGAGGAAAGGTTGGGCATGAGGCTAGCTAGTAAAAATAAACACTACTACAGAAACTTCAAGCCACTAGCTTGAGGCCCTATGTTCCACTGGGAACGTGAAGGAAAAATTATTATTATTTTGACACTATAATGCCACAGCAGCATTTTTCTAAAGAAAAACAGATCCAAAAGAAAAGATAAAGAAAAGCAAAAGGAAATAAAGTTCAAACGACGACCAAATACGGCCATGACTTAAGTAAAAAAAGTCACTTACATTTTCTGACTCGGCTTTTATGCTTCGCTTCCAAGTTATTAAGATACTCGGAGGACTTCAGCTTGGTTGATACATTAGAATCAGCAGGAAAATTTGCAGTTTTAATTTTTCGGTTAACGACAAACTGCTCTGCACTTTCAGAGGTATATTCATTTTGTAACTCAACACTTTTAAAGTCATGTTTTATTTCATTTGATGAATCATTTTCAATAAATGCATCTTCTGTTTGTGTAGAAACGCTTAAATCCTCTAATACAGGAGAGCATTTCCTTTTAACTGGTTGATCTTCCACAGTAGATTCGTCTTCTGAATTACTAGTACCGGTAACTGTTTGAGAGATAGTTTCCACATTATCAGAATGAATACTGGTTGTAAGAGTCTCAGAAAGTTTTACTTTACTAGAAGAAACAGTAGTTGCAAAAGAACTAATGTGGTTACTTCTAGAAGTAGCAGTAATGGTGTTGGTGTTAAAGAAGGTATCATCCTTGGTGAAATCTGGTTTCCCTAAATTCTTTAAAGCGATATCTATTTCATGTTCATTGTTCCCAGTTGATTGACGACACCATCGATTCACATCGGCATATGAATAAAGTTTCAAAAGCACTATTGTGTATACTCCTAGTACAGGTGCACTAAACACTAAGTTATTATAACAAAGAAAAAAGGGCATTAAATATGGATTAGACTATGGTAAGACTCCAGTGTTAAATTTTTATGAAGGCAATCACGTTATTTGAATTCAAATTTTAAGAACACGTATTTCATTCTCATTTATAAGGTAAGATAAAAATGTAGAGTTTAATGTCATAATTATCATCATATAGCATTGCTAGATTCCATTTTTGGCAACTAAGCGTAGCTCCGAATACATTTACTTAAAGCTAATTCGGAGTTATAGCAGTAAGCTTTCGAACCATGTTAAAAGCCACTGTACATCGTGAGTTCTTGTTTGGCTAAGAAATCAGAAAGCTGAGTCATGCCTACGTAGGGGACGATACCATTCAGTGGAAAGTGTGTTCTTAAACTCTAATTTAGAAAACAGCCATGCAAGCGACTGCATGTTTGATATACCTTTACTCAGTATTGCATACATAAATTATACCTAGCTTATCCCTCATTTGTCTACATCATCAGAATATATGAATATATATGTACAACTTACGAGGATTGAAATCTATTGATAGTATCATGATTGTCGGAAAAGCAAGTAGGCAAAGTAAATTCCACCAAATGAGTGCCATAGCAAATTTACCGCCAACTAATCCCCGAACAATTGCACGCTCGAGTAACCAAGCGAATATAATAAAAACATTAGTACCTGAAAATTAAAACACACAATTTTATTTATATCTATAATTAAAGCCTTTAAACTGAGAGAAAAAATCCAATACACAATTCATTCATTTGTTGACAGTATGAAGTATACGATGATTAGATTTATTAAAACTAACTTTTTGGTACTGTGATTTAACACATTTAACTTTATATCATTCGGTATGATAATAATAATATATGATGGTGTATCTAATACAACAGTTTCCAAGGGTATACTAGCCGCAGGGTTTATACAACATGGCATCGCACAAAACATCTGGTGTAAATAAGCAGCGTTAATCACCAGAATACAACCAGCTAACTAGGTAAACGGTGTACTTTAATATTCAAACGATGAAACCTAGAAGGATCCTCTCCAAAACTCTCAGCAAAATTGGTCTTTTATCTAATTAAAACTTAATTTACTACAGTTGTTTCGATTAATATGATGATCACCTTGTGACACTTTGTGTACCGAAACACTAGATAGGTATTTAGTTGAATTCATTTTGTTTCTATAGTATAAAATGTTTGTTGTAATATACTGAGAATAAAATAAAGTGAACATGTAAAAATTAATCTTCGGACGACAAATAGTGCGTGTGTGTGTGTGTGGGATTAACACTTGTTATTGCAGACCTACTAATGCCAACTTTGAAATAACTAATTATTGGTGAGAGTGAGTAATGAATAGTCTTGTAATCACCGGTTGAATGTAACCACAAGGATGAAGTGATTTACTGTCATAGCTATTAAAACCGCGTTGAAAATAGGGGGAAGAGATTTATTCCACATCAGATACGTTTATATTATCTAACACAATGATACAGTGTTCATAACCGGTTGGTGCTTTTGGAACAAATTCTACCCTTACATTAAATATATTTATGGTTTTCTTTTCTAGAGACTAGTCAATAAACTCACATTACTTCCAGAGACAGAAACACTAATCACAAATTAACGTAACTTTAAAATTCTATGGACAGAAAATTCGGATCACTCCTAAACCAACGAACTCATCCACAGACAGAATTTGTCGTTCAAGAAATACAATTCACCGAATTAGGCACAATAATATAATTCATGAAAAAGTCCCATTCTAACAATAATACAGAGATGATCAGCAGTTCAGCGAAGAGTTTCTTTTCGGCGAATTCATTTTCACAACTGTACAATCGCAAATATATACGGTTATTTTGTATGCTTTTGTACATTAACTTTGTCAAACGAAAATACATTCGGTTAGGGTGGTTATAACTGAAGGGGTCAAAATTAGTCAGCTTTTGGTGGAGTTACGTAATACAAAAATATAATTTGTTAGATATTACGTAGTAACCCTCATGTAAGTTACATAGGTCAAACTACAAGATAAGGGACAGTTAACATATCAGAACAGAGAAATCCGACTCCATCTTGAGTGCCAATGCTATATTAAATGACCTGGTAAAGAAACTCGACCATCTCTATGACCACACTTGTGTATCCTCACATATTAGAGGAGGTAGAATCGTTTAAAAGGAGTAATTTAGTCTGGTGGAGAGAGAGGTTAATCAGCGAACTTCTATTGAACGAATTGACAAGTGCAGTCAAAATGACGCAACACCTCTCCCTGGTATATGCAATATTCCATTAAAAACTGGGGGGAGTAAGTTTACAATAAACCAAGTTAAGGGGATATTTAAATTTACTGAGGTGATTATGAGCAGAAGATTGTACTATAAATGTCATCCACTTACTAACAATGTCACTATGTTTTATCAAATAAACTTATCTAATATGAAATCATATTTAACAGCAGTGATTAAACTATATCCCTACATGAAATTATTTATTTTCTTTAAAAATAACTTCAATAGAGAATCAGTGAAATTCATTATACTCAGACGTTATTTTAAAAAATGGACACCAAATGCTTCCTGCTATTTATCTAGAGTTTGAAAGCTTGTTTGATATCCTTTTCTACTATTGACGACCTTAAATACTGCCCTCTTGAGTAAAGTATGGCCGCATTTATTCGTCAAACAGGAGACTTTCAATAAATGTCATACTCAGGAAAAAAGTTGAATTCTTTGAGTAAGTGAAATGTGACGCATCATTTACAGTTTTATCAGTGTTGAACATACCTGCAAGTGTTAGTAACAGCGGATTTCGTATGAAAAAACCTAAAGGTGTATAAAATATTCCCGAATACTTTTTTTTAACAAACTGGAAAACTTTCTATTTTCAATAGTGTAAATGATTAAAATAAATTTCTACCATGCTGTGTATTTTCAAGTCATCCATAATGCTAGCTGCTAACTTGTCTTAGAGAAAAAAAACCATTCCAGAATTTCAGCTCAACAAAAGCTTGAACCTGTTTATGCAGAGGATAATAGATCTTACAGTTCAATTGTTTCATTCAAATTGGCGTTAGACATTTGCTGACAGGAATCCTTGCAAACTGACTCCTAACATCTAACTTTAAAAGTCAAGGTATATTATTGTGTTCTATAGCGTCCTAGTGATCCTTTGATATACAATGAGATTTAAGGTAGGAGAGTCAAAAATCGATTCTACAGAGTTACCGGATGACAGTGTGAACCAGAATATCAAGATCAATTTTAAAAATGGTCAGCATAAAAATTGCGTCCAGTCAGAAAACAATTGACACTCCACAGTCGGATAGATTTATTTCAGTCTTCTCGCTGATTGGATCATTTGAAAATTTCGCACAAACTCTTAGTATTATGCAGAATTTGCTCATCACATAAAAGGAAGCCTATATTGAAAAAAGGTGACAAATCATATGTCAACAACCTGAAATACCTTGACTTTCTGAAAATCAAATAAAATGACTTCTGCCTCTTTGGATAAAGTTAGTTAGTTCCTTCTTAAGAGGCTCTTCATTCATTCATTCATTCTGATTTTCAGTAGTGTTGCTGCACCATTCATTGACTTATCTACAGTATAGAACTGTCTTACGACATCGAGTGTGTTAGACTTTGTATCATCATCCACAGCTTTTAATTCAGATATTTGGTGATGCAGGAATTCAAACTGTATTTCTGTGCGAATTGTGCAGACTGTTAGACTGATTTCTCTAAACTGTGATCTTGTAATGATATATGAAACTTATAGACACACAAATATCACCATGGTGCATACCAGTCAAGATTCAGCTGTCAAACCAAAGGTTAAAATTGTTTCCATTGTCATTTCATTGAAGTAATGGATACAGCTGCCATAGGTAATTCGCTGCGATATATCACAAAATTCGAGTTTATAATGCTTAAAAGACATTGTGTGTAATGTTATCTAGTTATTCGTAACAGGTTCTATCAGTTAACTTTCCAGTGTGATCACCATGTCAGAAGAATTACTGCAGTAGTCCTGGGCTTCCTGTTGCTTATCTCCAAACATTTAACATTAATTAAAGTACGCTGTAACTAGTATAACACTGCTTAGATAATTGAGAATTCAATACTTTCTCTATCATTCAAACAAAAATGATAGATAAACTTGATTATTCTACATCGAAGCGTTTTGGAAGTTAGTTGTACTGAGTAGAAGTCGATTTGGATAAACGAAATGAGGCATCCGCTACAAGTAATTACAATGAATATACTTAGTTATTGGAAACTATATATAAAAGAAAGACTGAGTACCCAAGAGATAAACAAAGCTCATTCAACACTTTGCATGATGGAATTCACTGAATATTCGATCTTATTAGATTTTTAAACTGAAAAAATTACAGAAATCACACAGATTTGAAATTGTTTGCAGAAGTATACACTAGGGAATAGGATGAACTCTTTTAACCCCACAGATCATAATCAATAGATGTATTTAATTCACCAGCAACGTCATCATAATCGATATATAACTGCACAAATTTAAAAATGCGTATGAACTACTGAAAGTCAATATTTATTGAACATTTTTATCATATTAGCTCAGTAGTCTTCAGCAATAGGCATATGATGACATTAGATATCTACTAGTCTTAAGACAAAACTAGTAATTTTTAGACTATAGTCTTTTCTCTGCTTGTAAAGGGTGAAGGACAGTGGGCCTTACTATTCATTAGCTTTCTTAAGCTGATTTTCGTGCACACATTTTATCGTAATTGCAATCTTCCACGTATTCTATAGATGGCTTCGAAGTTACTTTGTGGGTTTGCTTGGTATCGCGAGTCGATCAGCTGTTCCAGAATAGATCTTCAGAGGAACCTGTTTTCTTCCGCTTTACCCAACGTCTGCTATTCAAACATATCATTGAACACTCACTTTCATGGTTTTGCAAAGAAGGGAAACGGTCCTTCCGAAGATCTATTCTGAGACAGCTGATCGAATCACGACACCAAGCAAACCCACAAAGTAACTTCGAAGCCATCTATAGAATACGTGGAAATCTTGCCAGAAGAGTACGAACTAAACTTCTTCAAGGTGCCGAAGCAATGCCAATTCACATATTAAAACCCGAACTCCGCATACAAAAGGACTTTGTTCAGTCATTAAATCTACAGTTAACCTGACCTATCTTAACACCCAATACGTAAATTTTGTTTCGTCTTTTTCTTGTTTGTGTGCTTCTTAATTTTATGATGTTTTCTTCCCACACCCATCATTATCACTGTTGGTAACTTGGCTTCTATTCAAATTTAATTTTATCTGGGCTCTGCTCAACCCCGTCAATTAGATTACGTCACCCAACTTGCTTATGTAATCTTGTCTATCTTAGTTTCTAACACATCAACGCCTTCTACATTACCTAATTTGTTTTAATGTCAGTAAATATCACCAATAACTAAACTTATCATTGTGTGTAAACTAGTGAAGTATGATTATACGTAATTTGTTGTCTAAAATTTACAATTCTAATGACAAATCTTTCGAAATATTCGTTTACTTTACACTTGCGATAGTACAGCTTGAGAATGATATCGCCTAAAAGAGTAACTGTTCGCTAAGGCTTTTCTTTTATAGAAGAATTCGTCCTAAAGTGCAGCACATTATAACTGTGCAACTTAAAATCTTCGATTTCTACATCTTGGCGAAATAGTTAGACGACTGTTGTCAAGAATTTTAGTGAACATATTTAGCTAGTTAATTATCGAAGATTTTGTGTGTCCAGCGTAGGCAGTTAAGGCAGAGTAATATAAAATGAAGCGAAAGATATTTTTCCATCATTGAACTTACAACCAAGCAGTCCAATTACAGCGCATTTCTGTTGAGCTTGTAAAAGGAATCGAATCCATGAAAAAGGGTCCATGATAATACCATACCTAAACAAAACAATTTAATACATACAAAATATCTGTATCCAATTTACATGAACATTTTTACGAACCCGTATATATATATATAAACATAAATTATTCAGATCGAAATGTTTGATCTTCTCGATACAATAAGTGGTAATTGAGAAGACAAGCATAATCGCATGCAACTGTATACTCTGCTGACTGATTAAGATGAGTAGTTGTTTGCTACTCACATCAGCCAAACTGAGTTGATTTGTGAGATTATTATTTCGCTCAACTAGCTAGCCAGAAATTGGAATGCGGGGTTGAACTGATTCGGTTGTCTAAGCTGAATCAAACCCGACGTAACACTGAAGAGAACCGTCTAGAATCAGTAGAATGGCCGTCTGATATTTAAATGGCTAGCAAGCACTAGTGGTATGCATCTACTCATGGCACTTAATTAATAGTATATAATGACTTGTCTTCCTAATTACCTGATATCAGAATGCCTTTCATGATCAACCACCAATAAAAAAACTACTCTTCGATAATCTTGTTTTCATTATGAAATTCATACACTTTCCCGTCTAGTATTTCCATATTTTCTAGGCGAAACTGATAATCGTGTGGAAACTCTGGCACATGAAAAATACTGATCAATGTAACCTTCAATTACTAGTTTAATCCAACAATAACGAATAGTTAAAAAAAAATGTGCAGGCTGTTCATTCTGAGAAGGGATTAAAACTAGACTTCTTTTAAAATAGGTTTTTAGATTATGAAGTTTATATTAGTTGTCATAAAACTTGTCAGTTTCAGATTCAAAATATTTTGATATACAGTCAGTTAGGTGACCCTGATTTGGAAAAAAATTTAAGAAAGTCATTGCAGCATTTTTTTAAATGCTTCTGTCTCAATGGCTTACCATACGATGAGCATAATTTTAGGTATGATGTAACAAACTTTTGCCATATTAACAATATTTAACTAATTGGTCTTTTAATTATTCACGTAGGCACATTATAAAGTTGATTTGAGGACAATGAAACTTAATTCATTACAATAAGAACTAAAAATAACAAAGGAAAACAATTAGTCCAAGTAATTAAACGTCTGGTAAATCACAGAGTGATATGATTCCTCTAGCACATCCTGTTAAGATCTGCTTCCTTCTGTCCAGACTGAATTGATCTTGAAATCAGAAGAAAATATGATCATAAAATGAGATTACTGACTCAGCAGTGAGAACAGTTCATCCAAATATGATAAATACCACCATGTTTAACTATTTTCACAATTATTCTAAAAACTACTTGCCATATTTGTTGGTGGATCAAATGAATATCTTCAAGTCTTAGTCTATAGTGATTTGATTCGCATCTCCAACACTTTTTAATAAACTTCTGAGACTAACCATTATTTTCCAGTATCTCTTCAAGAACCGGAAATTCCTCCTCCAAATTTATTAGTAGGATTATTCTTTTCGCTCTATAAAACGGAGTTTTGATCAGTGCTTACTTATGGCCAAATGGCTAAAGAGTTTGAGTGTTTTCCATTCCATGTGGGGTTTACATGAAATGGTCTCTGAAGACTATCATTTTCTAAGGTAAGCATAGCAAGATTACATATGAAAATGTCTACTAATAAGTGTAATGGACTGCCCATAACTACAACATCCTTTATCAAAATCAAATTGCACACCCGTGATACACATTAGTAGTAGGCGTTTAAATTTCCTAACTTGGGGATGGGCGTATGGAGGTGGAAATGCTGATGAATAACGTTGAAAGTTTCACTAATTGAGATCTCTGTAAACAGGTATCTCACATCAAATGATATCATGATATCTTATAACATTAACAACCTTAAACTTACAGCAAATGCTTTTCCATTTCGATCATAATATAAAAAAGGTATTGTAAAGTGGATTAATATGTGTGAGGAAATGGTCAAAAGTAGTTACTTTTAAACTACTGCCGCCGAGATTTTGCAGTTGGAATGCTCACCTCTAATCAACGTTTTTGATAAAAGTTCTTCACACAGTATGCGTATCCAACTACAAAACTTAAAGCTTGTCAGCCTAGTTTATAGTAATTTAAGAAGTTGAATATTTCCCAACTGTGAAAGCCACATGGAGAAAACAAGGAATAGACTTTACTTCTTACACTGATAATCTGTTAATGTGAAAATTCTTTACCACTGACTCAGATCAAAATTATCAATGATTTCATCTTCATGTGAATATTTCAGACTTCAGATAAGAGCATAACTTTATTTTAAATACGTCAAACAACGCTAGCTCAAATATCCATAATTGCCAAAAATTCTTAATCAATTGTTCCAGATGTGTTTGTCAACACCGCCTTCATATTTCTGTAATATCAGTTATCTATCATTTAAGGTATATGCTATTTACCACGTGAGACTATTTGTTAGAATTTTAGAAAAACCCAATTAAATGTTTTACTTTTAAAGTGCTGGATATTTTCACTAGAATGTAAGGCTTGTAAATGAATGTTAAAAATAATGCTGAATGGAGAGATTTCAAACCACAGAGAAAGCAAGCGAATATCATTAATAAACTTATTTTTCATACACTAAGACTGTTTGTTCCACTTTGTAAGGATTGTTGAATACTGCCTGTTGTATCGTTTTAAGCGTCAATACCATATTCAGAAATACACACAGTAGTCAGTGATAATGACTTTTATACCTTTGAAACATTCAACTGGTTGTGGAAGCAATTTTGCTGCAGCATAACACTTTGTTTCATAATATTTTATGTAAACAACTCATCAGATTGGTGTTCGGGTGAATATAATTTCATCTTAGAACTATCCAAAATTGTAGACAGATATTATTTCGTTTAAATGACTGAAAATATGAACGGGTGCACAGAATGCGAAAATGCCCTGTTGTCTCAGACACACAAATTTTATCAATATCCAACTCAAAATATCTCGCTGCTGAATGATGATTCTAAGTCATGATAAAGTTGAAAGTGAGAACGGATTACAAAGGCAGCAGAAATAATGTAAGTTAGATCTTGCAGAAAGTCATAAGACAAGGAATAATAGAAAGTGAATGGATAATCTATCTATCTGCTCCACTGTCCTCAGCTTTGAAGCCAGATAAACTACATCGAATTCCAGCTATCTTGAGGTGTTGACATTAACCCAAGTAGGTGGAACAAAATCTGAAATAATTTACAAACAAGTTAGATTTCTTAGTCGAACTTTCCTCGGCTCGGTTAAAACCTGACCATTTTAGATTATGAGATTCGTGGGAACTGGGATGAATTTAACTTCAGTTGCTAGATTTCGTCATGAATCAACTTCGATTAGAGAGATCATTGAAAACCATGAAGTAATGAACAGCTACTACATCCTATTTCGGACTCTTCATTAGTGTCTGCCAAATATCTCATCACAGATCGAACCCGACAACTTCAGGTTACGAGGTCAAGCTCGTGAAACATCTAGACACTTGGGCTGGAATTCAATGACCCGAGAACTCTAACTTCTTAGATCTGTGCTATGTGACCTTCCCTCATCAATCCCTTTGATGTGCAACCACTTTACCTTAACATGGTGGACCCCACTGACTACGACTTCGGACCACAGATTCAGTACATCGATCCAGTAACCATCAGTGAACGGGAAACTGATATTTAGATCTAGAGCTCCCTGTTTTTCATGAAAACATCTAACAATTGAAATTAAATTAATCCTTTTTAATTTCGCAAGTCATCATGCAATGTGTCGAGGTCCCTTCATGTAGTGACAGTTGATACCTGCATTAGTCGACTTCTCCCAACTCACTTGAGATTTCTGCGTACTTTCTTGCATGACTTACATTGTAGTTTGGCAAAAAATGAATAGTTGACTGACAACAGAGGAGACAAAATCCTTCTTCTCTATGAAAACAAGGCTCCATCGAAAGTGTAGACAAGTAGTCCAACCGAGATCATTGTCGTTATCATTATCCACTCAGTCAATCTTCCTTTCTCTTCCTCCACAATATATATATATATATATATAGGACAAAACAAGTGTCCAATACTCCAAGGTTTTCCAATGGTTCTCTAAATGGTGTCACTTCGTAATCAATCATTTAATATATACATACATATATATTATTTCATTGTGAAAATATAGGCCGTTTTAACACAAACTTAAATATATAACTAAGTAAATAAATGGAAAAAACAAAAGAACACTTGAAAGTTTTTTTTTAGATACTGATCACCAATGACTAAACAGTTGTAAAATTCAAACGACACTAAGTGCTATTTCGTCATATTTCATAATTGCCAAACATTTGCCAATGATAACCTCTTCTAGGGAAAATTAAGCTCTGCACTTGCAGATTCTGCAGCAGATTTGATACTTCTGAACACCAGAAAATAGTTTTTATTTTAACAAAATCTGAATAATCAATACTTTTATACTTCAAAATCATATGAGGTATATTAAAAGTAAATTCGTTACGTACAATTATACGTATTTTTCTAATGAATTTTTGTCAGTAGTGATCTGAATAGTTGACTGCGATTCCCGAGTTAACAACGCAGCTTCAGTGTTAGTAAACAAAATGTATTGCACAGGAAGTGTTCAGTCAGTATAGATACTAGCTAGCTTTTTGAGAATATTAACAGCGGTTTAACGAGCTTTCAAAGGAAAAGCCATGAGAGCAGGAAGGAATTCACAGTACTCTCCAGTTTTCCTCCTTCTACATCACAGAAAACACAACAGTAAACTATTCATCCAAACTAATAACCGTCTGATTTATTTCAGAAGTCTCGAATAATGCTGATAAACATTAACCTAAAAACAAAGCCCTAACTAATATTTTTTAAAAAAAACCAATATCTTAGAAAAATAGTGAAACTAACGACTTTTCAGCGTCGATGGCACAGCGGTTAGGACGCTCGCCAACCATGCACATGGTTCGGGGTTCAATACCCGACCGACTCACTCCTTTACCTCGCTAAGCCAGGAATAATGCTGATAAAGAGGAAAGGTTGGGCATGAGGCTAG